CCACAGTCCGCGTCCGAATCTGTTTGTTCTAGCTTTCACTTTCGCTTTCGACCTTAGAGATTTCTCCCAGCTTCCCCCCGTAGTCCGTATCCAAGTCTATGCCTAGGCTTTCAATAGCTTCTTCCGGCACCCTTTTTCGTCCGGCTTTTCCCTAGGCTGTTTGCTAGTCTCTCTCTCCGATATTTTCCCAGTTCTTCCCGTTTCTTCCCTCCTAAGTTTCATATCCGTCCTAAGTTTCCTATCCGAGCTAGGTTTCCTATCCGAGTCACGTTTCCTATCCGAGCTAGGTTTCCTATCCGTCCTAGGTTTCATATCCGAGTCACGGCACCATTATGTCGCTCCCCGTCTTCGTGGGGGAACGACACAGGACCCTGCGCTGTTCTTTCGTCTGCTCGGCCCTCCCCGGGTTTGCTGCTGGTTCTTCCCGGGTTGGCTACTATCCCTTCCACCTCCGTGGAAGGGCAGTTCCCCCTGGCCACATTCCCCACTTCCGCAGGGGAGCGGCACACCGCCGGCCGGCTTTCTGGGGGGCTGCACGGGTTCCCTTAGATGTTCCCCATAGATGTTCCTGGTGCATGCCGTCTCTCTCCTCCTTTATAGTCCTCCTCCGCCAATCCCAACTCGGCTGCCCACACGCCGAGTACGCTGCTCTCCTCCAATCAGGAGCAAGTCCTACAGTTAATTGGTTGAACTGGAGGCAGCTGTGCGGAAGCTGTTTACTTCTCTCCCAGCGCCATATTGTGGGAGAGCAGATGCATAGAATAAGTCTTAATTCCAGTAACAGTCTAGTCCGAGCTGCTCCCCACACTTTATATATACAGATTTAGGGCCATGGTAATACTTCCCACCCTACCCTCCCTGCTGCCCACATTCCCACCCTCCCTCCTCATTCCTTTCTTATTTTTTTTCTTTTAATTTGTACAATGACATAGTTTATTTTATAATCATAAGCTTAACCCCCCAATAAGTAAAGAATTCCACAAACAATAAGAAAAAAATCCTGTTCTTCAACAGTATAAACAAGGACTGTAAACAATAATCAAATGTCAAATTGTCAATTTTGCATTTACACATTATATTTTTTGTACTGTGTTACCACAGATCAGGGAAAACATATGGTATTTGTCTTTTTGGGACTGGCTTATTTCACCAAACATAATGGTTTCTAGTTACAACCATCTTGCCACACAACACAGGACTTCTGTTTTATGGTTGAGTAATATTCCATAGTGTATACATACCACATTTTCTTTATGCAGTCATCGTTTGATAGACATTTGGGTAGATTGCACATCTTAGCTATTGGGAATTGAGCTGTAATAAACATCAGGGTACAGATAACTCTTTCATATGCTGACTTCATTTAGTTTTGGTGAATTCCCAGGAGGGGGATGTCTGGGTAATATGGTAGACCAAGTTCAGTTCTCAGAGGAACCTTCATATTGTCTTTCCATAATTGTTGTAGTAGTTTACATTCCCATCAACAATTGATTAGGGTACACTTACCCCACATCCTCACCAATACTCATTATTCTTTTTTTTAAATTTCTGTATGATAGCTATTTTAACTGGGTTGAGATTAAACTTCATTGTGTTTTTTATTTGCATGTCCATTACGGCTAGTGATCCTGACCATTTTATTTTCAAGTGTCTTTTGGACATTTGAATTTCATCCTTTGAAAATTTCCTGGTCACGTCCTTTCCCCATTTCATAACTGGACTTTCTTGTTGTTGTTGCAGAGTTTCTTGAGCTGTTCTAGATTCTGGATACTAATTCCTTATCAGTTGCATATTTTGTGAATATTTTATCCCATTCTGTCAGTTACATTTTCACTTTGTTGAATGCTTCCTTTGCAATGCAGGAGTTTTTTAGCTTGATATAACCCCATTTGTTTATTTTTGCTTTTATTGTCTGTGTTTCTGGGGTCTTTTCCAAGAAGACTTTGTCTATGCCAATGTCTTACCGAGTTTCCCCCAACATTTTCTTCTAGTAATTTTATGGTATCAGGTCATAGATTTACCACCTAGATCCATTTTTAAGTTGATTTCTGTATAAGGTTTAAGGTAGGGGTCATGTTTCATACTTCTGCATGCAGAGATTCAATGTTCCCAGCACCAATTATTGAAGAGACTGTCCTTTCTCCAGTAATTGATTTTTAGCACCTTTGTCCAAGATTAGTTGGTTGAAGATGTGTGGATTGATTTTGGGGGTTTCTATTCTGTTCCACTGGTATACATGTCTGTATGTGTGCCAGGAACAGACTGTTTTGATTCTAACTGCTTGGTACTATGTCTTGAAATTTGGTATTGTGATGCCTCTTGCTTTGTTTTTCTTGTTTAACATTGCTAAGCTATTCGAAGTTCCCCGTGTTTCCATATAAATTTTAGCATCATTTTTTCTATCTGACAAGAATGTCATTGGTATTTTGATTAGAATCACACTGAATCTGTAAATTGCTTTCAGTAGTGTAGACATTTTGAGGATAATAATTCTTCCAATCCACAAACATGGAACATTCTGATGCGAAGTCACATGTGAGTTTAACTGGAGATTCTC